GTCCCAAAACAATCTTCTTTATGAAAACGTGTTTTTCTGGTGTGCGAAATAGTATAGCTTTTTGCATCCCACCCACTCATATATTTTAAAAAAAAAATTCTGTACACTATTCCAGATTTTTTATTTACGTAAATTAAAAAGAGAGTTTTCAAAATAAAGAAAAAGGAAAGGGGAAAGAAACAAGGAAAGAATGGGCCCTACGGATGTAAAAGGCAATAATGGACTGTACGCTTCGTAGATGCTATTTAGCTTGCCTAGCTAATGACTACTAGTACTCAAGTGCATCGTATATTTCTATACATACACACCTATGAAACTTAAACATATCTACATACGAAGTATTAATGTATACACTATGCGTGAGTAAATACGTATGGCTTCGTGAGGAGCCCACAAAAACAAAAGTGACCTCCCCCAAGTAAAACGATCATCACACGGTATCAAGTCCCTTYTACATTTCTCAAAATCAAAGAGACCTTCCCTAAATGATCCCTAATACTAGTATTTTATTTAATCTTAAAAATATATAAGTATTTTTAATCACATGTCGAAACCCGTGATGACTTCTTTTGTTCAATGTATTTGAGCATAGAGTATGTACAAATCATGGGCTATGATTATGCAGAGATATAAGACGGTAGATTTGAATGGTTTTAGCGTTTTCAAACTACAAAAATTTGTTTTTCTCCCCTCTCGATTGAATGTATAAATATTAGTTAAACAAAACTGTGTTTTATAATATATGTTACTCTAATCTGAAAAATATTTGAAAGAGTTATAACCTAAAGCAAATAGGCGAAACAGATTGGTAATAACTTGTTAATGAAGTTGTCCGTGTCTTAAAAAGTCAACCTGGTTTTTGATAATCTATGTGTTGAATAATGTATGATATTCGAAATCATACCAGTTGTTAAAATCAATAACTACATTTTAATAGTTTTAGCTGTATTGTATAATAAAGTTTTCGCATTTAAATTGAGAGTGGGTTTTTGCATTTAAACTTCACTCGGTTCGTATTTATAAACTTTTAAAGTTCTAATAGTACTAGTTAGTTATGGCAGCTCCAATAGTTAAAAAAACAAAAAAAACCATCCCATGCACGAAAATAACTAAACCCATAGATCGAAAAATTATTGGAAAAATTCATTCAATTTTGTAAATCCATTACCATCTTATACAAAATGAGCATGGAAGGAGCCTATCTCTTCCGTATGGCATAAGATTCAAACTAAAAAGTCAACTTTTTAAAATTACCAACTAATAACAAATTTATCGGCTAAGCATCACTTAAAATTTAATACACGTTATGGAGACTACCACGTCACACGTGAAGAACCTCACAGGCTGTATTCAACCATATAAATCCTTCCACGTGGCAGATTTTGACGTTGACACCTTTGCTACTACAGCTGTTCGCACACTTCTCAAATTTAGAAAAAAAAAAAAAACTTTGGTATAAATACGTTCCCTATATCAACACTACTATAAACCTCAAAACAAAAACCTCTGTTCTCTCTCTCTTCTTCTTCAATCTCATATTAACCCCTCTCAATGGCTTATAATTACCGTTTTGCCATCCTCCTCACTTTCCTCTTCGTCACCGTCGGATTTTCCGCCGCCGCGTTGGTCGAAGAGCAACCGCTTGTTCTGAAATACCACAACGGCGTTCTCTTGAAAGGAAACATCACCGTCAATCTCGTTTGGTACGGAAAATTCACACCGATCCAACGGTCCGTAATCGTCGATTTCATTCGCTCCCTCAACTCCAAAGACGCCGCTCCATCCTCCTCCGGCGCTGCTCCTTCCGTCGCGTCGTGGTGGAAGACGACGGAGAAATACAAAGGCGGATCGTCGACGCTCGTCGTCGGAAAACAGCTTCTCCTCGAGAACTATCATCTCGGAAAATTACTCAAAAATCCTTACCTACGTGCTTTATCAACCAAACTTAACGGCGGACTCCGTTCGATAACGGTAGTTTTAACGGCCAAAGACGTTACCGTCGAAGGATTCTGTATGAACCGATGCGGGACCCACGGATCATCTGGCTCGAAATCGCGTCGCGCGGCTAATGGCGCGGCTTACGTCTGGGTCGGAAACTCCGAGTCGCTTTGCCCGGGATATTGCGCGTGGCCGTTTCACCAGCCGATTTACGGACCGCAAACGCCGCCGTTAGTTTCTCCTAACGGTGACGTTGGAGTTGACGGAATGATTATAAACCTCGCTACACTTCTCGCTAACACCGTCACGAATCCGTTTAAAAACGGATATTACCAGGGCCCACCAACTGCACCGCTTGAAGCTGTCTCCGCTTGTACTGGCATATTCGGGTCGGGTTCTTACCCGGGTTACGCCGGTCGGGTTCTCGTTGATAAAACAACCGGGTCTAGCTACAACGCCCGTGGACTCGCCGGTAGGAAATATCTTTTGCCGGCGATGTGGGATCCACAGACTTCAACGTGCAAGACTCTGGTTTGATCCAATGGACGGAAGTGTGACACATGTCATCGAGTCGAGATCTAGATAACATTTATTGTCAAAAGACAATATGCACGCGCGAGTGTTGATACAGTCTTCCGGGTTTGGATCTCGGGTTTGGATTGTGGATAGGGCTTCTTTGCTTTTGTCGTTTTGTTATGACGTGTAAATTATGTTTTTCGGGAATGTGGAGATATATGCATATAAAAATAAGAAAAAAATCATTTTGTTTCTACTTTTTTAAATTATTAAATGCACTCAGTTTTAACATAATCATCGAAGCTTAGATTTACTAATGATTTTATTTAAAGGAATCTGACTTTTTAATATTAGTGGGTAGGAGATAATAATGTTATTTGTTGTAATTTAATTCGGAAAATAAAGTGGATAAGCAATGTTAAGTAATGTTGGGGCCTAGGAGACCAAAATTGTTTGCTTAGTAAATACTCGTTCAGTACTACTACGACGATATTTGAATTTTTTAGTGCAAGTTAAATACTACAGAAAAACTGGTTTATGTAGTACAGTATTGTTAAAATATAATAGTTATAATTAAACCTTAATAACCGGGAAAAATCCAAATCCAATTTCTTTAAACAATGAACAATCTAAAAACATTTAATCATTTGAAACGGGGGCGTAACTTTTCTTATTATGTGGTGAAAAAGTAATCTAGTGAATTTTTTTTTTGTCGTCAGTAATCTAGTGAAGTAATCATCAAAGTTTGGT